ATAATACAGAGCATTCAAACGTCACGCTATCACACAACAAAATACATATAATACACAGCATTCAAACGTCACGCTATCACACAACAAAATACATATAGTACACAAGATTCACACCTGTCATGCTATCACACAGCACAATACATATAATACAAGATTCAAACTTCACGCTACAGAACAATACATATAATACACAAGATTCACACCTGTCACGCTATCACACAATACAATTGATATCATACACAATATTCACACATGGCACGCTATCCCACAAAATAATACATATAATACATAAGATTCAGCTAAGCCACGCTATCACACAACACAATACAAAACAGAGCATTCAAACACATTACATATAATACAGGGCATTCAAACAATAATTTAACGTCTAGACTGATGTGGTCGTTAAAGTTTGTTATTTTTACACTAAACACTCGTTTACATTAAAAAAAACTATCATTTTCTTCTTAAACACTCGTTTGAATTAAAAAACTCTCATTTTCTTCTGTATTTGCTGAGCTCTCGTGTAGAAGTTTTAGATCACTTCTGTATCATTGTAAGACTCATAAACTTTTATCACATAAAAATGTATAACTTATTTCTAGCTGAGTGGTGCAATAGAGAAATTTTAGTGGAACTTGTTAACAGTATTGCTTGCGGAACCATTTCCTCAGTGACATGGAACAGGTGATTACATATTGCACCGATGAAAGTGAATTCAACAACCTGTATGAATCAGTGACAGTGAATTCAACAACCTGTATTTGAGTAGTTGACCTGACGCAATCCCCGGTATAACACAAGCACCTAACAACTATTGGGCATATCTACTTCTACGCATAATTTACAGCGATCTACCAATCAACTACCAACAATCTTGATGATATTGCAATCTATATGACAATCTTCACCAGGGGCAATAGTATCAAGACATATTAAGTTAATTGTTAGTGTTTGCAAATATAGATGAGATCGTAAAATTGGTTCGGCGTGAGTGTTGATAACGCTGCTTATCAGCACAAGTGATAACAAGGCAGCTTATCAGCACAAGTGATAATAACGCTGCTTATCAACACAAGTGATAACAATGCACCTTGTTACCGCGTCCATAATGAGCGTTAGTAACGAGCACTTTTGTTACACAAAATCATTCAAATAATAAATGTAACTAATCAATATAGGTAGTACAGGGGATAAATATGTAACAATATCATAGCGATAAATATGTAACAATATCATAGCGATAAATATGCAATAATACCATAGTGATAAATAGAAACCAAAAAAGTGATAAATGTAAACTAATAGAATTGTGATAAATAAGAACCCATACAACAGCCATGGATGTTAACCCATGCAACCGCTATGAAACCGGTATGCAATCCGGTATGCATGTAAACCCAAATATGTGTGATGAATATGAAAAAAGATATGAAAATGAACCGTTACAATGGTTAAGGATATGAACTTACGCACTGGTTATGGATAGGAAGCATTACAATTGATATAAATATGGGCGATTTAGAGGTGATTATGACGGAAATATGAACTGTTACAATGTTAAAGATAAGAAATTACGCACTGGTTATGAATTGGAAGCATTACAATTGTTATAAATATGGGCAATTTTGCGGTGATTTTGACGAGAGTTAAATGAATATAAATCGCGTCGGAGTATTGAAGAATTGAAGGAGTAGAGATTATGGTGCGCCATAAAGGCATCAGGCAAAGAAATACGTTTGTAATGCTCTTACACTGCTCTTTTACTCGTAGCAGCGTTAACGTATGGCTTTTTAAAAACAACAAATGAAGGAAAAAACATACAGGTCTTGCAAGCATAAGAGTGGCTTTTTAGCGCATTTTTTCTTTATGGAAAAAAGGCGCTATTGTGCTCGTCATGTCCGTCTGTCTGTCCGTGGCTTCACGGACGGACGAGAAAATGCGCTCTCTGTCACTCACAGCAGTGAGTACTGAGTTATAATTTTTTGGTCTATAGGAGCGGATTCACGCCGATATATGTGAAACCTTTACACTGACCACCGCGCTGAACGATGTTAATGGTTGTATTTAATTATTGCAAGGTAAGAGCTACTGTCAATGCCAAAAAGTCACCACAGCACTTATGTCGCCAGCCTTCAGAAGAAAAGTTTTAATTTGTATTCAAAACCGAGCCGCAACTTTCTAGCGTGATCGTAACAGTAATTACGTTGATCAAGCCATAATATTCGTGGTTCTGACCGCAGTTATACGGTTTTTAGTGACGAGCGGCGAGTTAAATGCAGTAGCTGCTATCCCCAACAAAATTTAGAGTCGCCCCAGCTTCTCGTAATCCAAATCAGAAGCTGACGCGTCGGTAAATTTTCACTGGGATGTGGCAACTTATATATCATTGACGGTAAGGAAACAACGCGATATCAAGCAATAAGTTATCACAACGTGCCTCAGCTGACATAAGCTCCTGACTTCATGTGTAAAACGGAGTTCTTTGCTTGAAAACCTTCGTCTATCTAAATTTTTTGTTTAGGTTCATGAAGTTACATGGGAAAAAACCTCAATTGCATCAAACCTCGATTAAGCAGCATAAAGGCTTCAGTTCTATCGATGACAAACCTACTAAGGCGAACCTACTACTAAACCTACTAAGTCTGCGTCAACTCCTCTAAGTTCTCAAAAAGGAGTAAAGCAGACAATGAGAATATTCTACACGTCATCATTTCAATTTGTAAATAGTTAAAAGCCACGAGCTATTGGCCATAGGTTTGCATTACAAGCTTTCTGTTAGAGGTTCCTTTACTTATCAAGCTTCGAATAATGTGAATAATGAGAAATAGAAAGCAGATGCAAGAATTTTGATCGACAAATACGAATTTAGGAAATTTTTCGGCAACTAAAGGGATTATTACAAATGATCGAAATACGATAGAAAACTCTTGTTTTTGTCAGGATAAAGAATTGCAAAGTGATCAACGTGAACAGACAGTGATGTGATGTGGAGTCGTAAACATTCATCTGAATGATGAATGAATCCACATATCATGTCGCTGTTTAATCCGAATGATGAATGTTCTCCACATTCAGCATTCAACATTCATCAGAGTTAGTGAGGTTGTATCATCAAGAGTTGTGTGTAAGTACATATCGTTCGTCAACACGAATGGTATTGGTTATGTTGTTATAATGGTTATGTGGTCAACACGAACATAATGGTAATGTTGATGAGAACGAAGCACGGAAGACTACGTGGGAATGATGACAGCTGAAACCATCATTCGAGACATGATAAAGGAGGTAGGACGAGGTAGCATAGTTTTCGTTATAGATATTCATGCAGAGATTACGATTCGCAGTGTTTAACCTTCCTGTGAAATAATTTCAAGATCTTCCTACGGTTGGCGCCTAGAAAGAAATAATATTAGTAAATATAATTATTATGTAAGTAAATGTTTAACTGTGCCCAAGGCGCCACTGTTAAACTGTACGAAAGTTGTGACTGAGGAGGATGATAAACGAAGATATTAGGAACCGATGGCAACGAAGAATTAACATTTATCATTCATAATATTCATATTTATCATAATATCATCATTAAAATTGTTAATTAAATGAATTAATTAACATTCATTGCGAAGAATTAACATTTGATGCTGGAATGCGGGAAGCATGGGGAATAATGTTTGAATTATTACGTGGAGATTGTGAATCGTGGTTTATCTCGCTTATTATTCAGCGGCGTCACTACAACGTAAGATCTACGCTGGAAGAAAATAACGTATTCAGATCCTGTTAAGCCTACACAAGAGCGAATGCAAGAGAAAAAAAAGACCGCGAGAAAATATATTAAATGAAACAAATATTAATGGTAAGCAGATACAGAAAGTGGCAAGTTCGGCGCAGAGAAACTTCTACGAAAAAGAGACATGGGACTGTGAAATGATGCATGATGGATGACGTGAGTGTTGCTTTAATAGGGCAACATCACAAGTCAAGCAACTAAAATGATCATCTGTAAAATAACTATAGAACATACATTAAAACTTCCATGAATGAATTTGAAAAAAAAAATAAAATTAAGAACTTGTTATAAACGTTAAAAATTTTCACTCCGCTCACATCAAGGCGGAGAATGTACTAAACTTGAGCACACGTGTACATTTTCCATTGTACGTACACCCGAACACCACAGAGCGTGCGCGCGTTACATGCCACTAGTCCTACATTTCGTAACTAGAGTTAAAAACTAAGACTACAATAAGACTGCCAACAGTCGCCTTATTGCTACAACCTTAAGAGCTACGGACACCCATGCACACTTGGCGCTACAGTGTGGCCTGGGACTGATACGTCCAAAACACCTGACGAGCTTAATAGTACACTTACAGTGTTGCACAGACACACTCGCGCTCACACAAATACACATTTCTCTAACTCAAACATACACTCTCATTCAACCATACAAACTCTCACTCAAACATATAAACTCTCACTCAAACATACAAACTCTCATTCAAACATACAAGCTCTCACTCAAACATACACACTCAAACACCAGCACGTCATATTGATGTCAAAATTCAGCTACAGAGCGCGCAATTCAGGCTACCGAGCACACAGAGAGCGCAATGCAGACTACACACATGACACACAGCACACCACACAAGTACACATGACATGGCAAGTGAGCAGCAACTACCTACACGCGCATATTGTGTTGGCGAGGCTGCAGCAACACGCACTGGTACAAGTCGCACCTCTCGAAGAGGCTCTACTTAATCTTACGCTTCCATCTGATGTCCAGAAGAAGGCACTAGAAGGCTCGTCGCCTAACGTCATCACGTCGTATATTAAGGACGAGGTATTAGAGACGTGCTGCGCTCTGTTAGGCGAAGCTGTAAATCGTGGTTTGGGGTTTGGAATTTGCGTTGAATGGTCATGAATAAAGCCGCTAACATGCTTGCTCGCAGCCACAATATAATGCAATAACAGGACACATAAACACAAACCTAAACAAGAGGATGTGTTGGCGTCCATATGGAGACAGTCGAGGAGGCTGGGATGGGCGAGAAGTTTGTCGTCTACACCAGCCTTCTTGACTGAAGGACCTTCGGTCATAAGGAGAGTGCTCAGCGACACCGACACTCGCGACGCTGAACTCCGGCCAAAGACATCCGCGTCCAATAGCGGCGTGGATGGTTCGCCCGCTCGCCCAGAATGCGACGAGGATGACGACGAAACTGACGAGAAATCAACGTCGTGTCGCTCAGTGTTGCTTGAGTCCTTTGGGTCAATGGAGTTGGAGAAAAGGGGGTGGTCGGAAGATAGGAGTTGTTGGTGAGAGAGGTGAGGAGAAGGTGTTTTTGAGGATGAACCACTAGGCGAGGGCTTGCCAGACTCCGAGTTGGTGCCATGGAGGACGATGGTGAAATCGTGCAACTCCACCTTGCCTGTAGAATACGAAATTTCTTAACTGGATACAGTTGAACCATGTTTTAAAATATATAGGAAATAATTTTTTAATTTATCGACAAAACTGATTCAAGATAAAATTGAATTAGGTTTGGCGAATAACAACGCTCAAACCAACGGTCGACAGTCGATATCTGATAAAATAATTAGACATAGAATCTATACAAAATATCACAGCGATTTTCATAGAAGAGAAGCTTTGAAATCCGGCGATGTAACCATAAGTTTCAGACCTTTTTAGACCGCCTTTACCTAGGAAATTTATGAGGCCTGACAAACCAAATGACGGAGATAAATTTTAAGGAATATATTAGGGATCTTAATATTTACATTCACAGTGACCTATTCTTCCAAAAGCTCAAAGAGCGGAATAAGGAAATGGTAGAAGAAAATAACAATTTATTCCCTACTAAAAGAATAGGGCGAAAATATATGTCAATGAAGGATATAATTCCACAAGTATTATCCTCGGGGGACATGATCAATTGCATAGGCAGTACAGAGCGTACGACATAAGAACGTTTCGCATGTACATTTAGGGTTCAGCTCGGAACTCCTGAATACGGAAAATGGTATTTATCTGAATTAACTGATCACGAATAGATGGGCATCAAGGTTCCAATTGAATATGGAAAATAGTATTTATCTGAATTAACTGACGACAAAAAGATGGGTATCAAGGTTCCAATGTTGAAACAGAAAAGGAAGCGTAATTGCAAGTCAAAAAAATAGCAGCATGCGAAGATAAGTTTCCAGGCGAGAGGCGCGAGAAAACCCCAGCTCAGAAGCAGTATTAGCAGCACAGGAAAAAGTAAACATCATACGTGCAATGTCTAGAAATTTTCAACTCTAGAAAGAGTTGAGATTATTGTTATGATAAAAAACTGGGTGTAAACTGTGTAAAGTAAAGATGTTAAGTGAAGTTAATGTGATGAGTGAGTGACTGGAGTTACCGTATTATCAGGGAGAACGAAGTTTAAGAATGTTATATGTGAGTGAGAATAGAATAGGCATTACAGTTCGAGTGATGAAGTAATGCTTGTAGCACATGCAGAACGCTGTAGATATAGGCACTGTTGACAATAGATATATCAGATGGATGTTTCATGAAGCGAATTTCAGCACAAAAGCAAACAAATACAAAGAAATAAATGAATATATAGAAGGAATATGTAAATGAATAGATAAAGGTTTGCAAGAAAACAAGAAGGGTAAGAGAAAAGTGGGGATATGAGGTACAGCATGCCTTATTGTTGCAGAATACATATGAAATATTTGGAAAAATATAACATATCTGGAAAGAAATAACTGATGCATGTATAATCAAAGGCTCATAATATGCATGACAGACTTAGACATAATTAAACACACATTGCATTATGTATATATAGAGTACAGAAGACACAAGCAGTCGTAAACACGAATTATGCATTTCAATTTGAAGTAATAAAAAAATCTGTATGAACAAGATAATTATAATCATAGCACATAAAGTTCCTAACTTTAGACACCAATAATTTTCTTCTCATTACATTCGATGAAACAAATTGGGAGGATAGAATCGATGAAGAACACTTGATATACGGCATCATATAAGGAGTGGAGTCAATATTAACATAGGTAGTAGAACTATGCGGTCTTTAGTCGGGTCGAATTGGGTTAAAATTGAGGCCTTTGGTCAGGTCAAACTGGGTTAAAATTGAAGCCTTTGGTCAGGTCAAGCTGAGTTAAAATTGAGGCCTTTGGTCAGGTCAAACTGGGTTAAAATTGAAGCCTTTGGTCAGGTCAAAATGGGTTAAAATTAAGGCCTTTGGTCAGGTCAAACTGGGTTAAAATTGAGGCCTTTAGTCGGGTCAAAATGGGTTAAAATAACCCATAACATTTGCGAAAAGTACATCGCTCTTTGGACAGTCATGACTCGTTTCTGAGATCGTGTAAACAAGTCAAGCGCGCGCTCACTCTGGTCGTGTCTAGCCCCGACATCGGGAGGCTATGTCGGGGAAGTTTATGTTCAAGAGCAAACAATGTATTTTGTCTAGCTGCTGATGCGGCCAGTCAGCAGTCAATATAGAGAAAATTTATAATAAACCATATATATAAACATTTCCCCAGTACCTTTAACTTATAGCTTAGGATGTACAAAAGCCAGAGTTATCAGTGCGAATCAGGATTATATATATTATTATGTGCATTTAGACTTAGGATTATATATGTTGTATATGTGCATTCAGAGTCAGTATTATATATGTTATATATGTGCATTAAGAGTCAGCATTAAATATGTTATTTAAGTGCATTTAGAGTCAGTGTTGCACTATCACAATTGAGAGTCAGGGTTGCACTATTACAGGCAACCCTGCAACCGTATGACAGAGTAGGGTTGCAGTCAACCGTCCACCGCCCCAACCCATCGTAGTATTCAGGTTCAACGAACTCTAATTTCAAAGATAAATGGAGGTGGAGTTTGTATAGAATTCTTACACCGGTCGTGGCCGAGACTTCTACTTTGAAATAAAAATTTTTCAGAAATAGATTTAGAATAGAACGATTCCAAATAACTGATAGGCGTAGAAAGAACATAATAGTGTTACCGTCAACACAAAATTAGGTGCGAGTTAATAGTTTTGGTCATTGTGTGCAGTAACTGTAGTATATATGAAAATAAAGGCCAGTAGATCCAATCCCTGCAACTGAACAATTAAAGCTTAATCTACAGCCTAATTGAGAGCGAGAAATAAGGCAAGAAAACTAACGTGCTCGTGCTATAAAAAATATTCACGTAATATACATACTGAATTTAACCCTCTAACGCCGTATGTCACTCTTCGGGAACATAAGTTTCAACTTAAATAATACGTAAACTATTGAGTGTATCAACCTTAGGACGTTAGTACGCATCAGAGAACATTTTAAAGTTGTCGTACGTGGCGGCAACCATCAGTGCAAGTCATTTTGCGCTCACTAGAACGTATCCTTTTTGGGAAGTAGGCGCGTGACAATATTGTTCCGGTTACTCATGTCAGGCGGTAGAGGGTTTAACTCACGCATTCTTTCGCTTCATTTGTTAACTTGCGTGGGTGGAATTGTGCTCATTAGAAATGATCAAGGAGAAATTTTATCGATCAAACGAAGCTACACAAGTTTAATTATTGCTAAGCATTGGTATTTATATTATTTATATACTATGAATTGAATTGTCTAAATTATTGTCTTTGATGGCGAGAACAAGTTTTACAAGCAAGAAGAACTGCGCGTTCTACATAACAATAAAACAGTTACGTCAAATCAAACAACAGTTAACAACGACATGCAAGTAAAGATACTTTGATAAAAATTTACAATTAATAACCGTTTAAGTGAGTGTGAAGCAAAAAATAAATATAAATTTAAATTTAACAATAAAAAAGTATCAACATAGCTATGACGTTGTAGGTATAAGAAAGCATATGCAAGCCCAATAACAAAATAAATAATATGTTAGTACATCGGATTACACAAGAGTTCAAAACCCAGAGTGGGATTACCAAGACACAGACGTTAATAAAGATCCCTCTAGGCATCTGACGTTGAAACATCGTTAAATTCACGTCAATTAAACGTTAAAACATCGTTGAATTTACGTTGAATAAACGCTGAAACATCGTTAAATTTACGTTGGTTAAACGTTGAAACATCGTTGAATTTACGTTGATTAAACGTTGAAACCTCGTTAAATTTACGTTGATTAAACGTTTAAACATCGTTAAATTCACGTTGCTTAAACGTTGAAACATCGTTGAATTTACGTTTATTAAACGTTGTTTCATCGTTTGATTTACGTTGATTAAACGTAGAAACTTCGTTAAATTTACGTTGATTAAACGTTGAAGCATCGTTGAATTTACGTTGATTAAACGTTGAAACACCGTTAAATTTACGTTGCTCAAACGTTGAAACATCGTTAAATTTACATTGATTAAACGTTGAAACATCGTTAAATTTACGTTGATTAAACGTTGAAACATCGTTAAATTTACGTTGATTAAACGTTGTTTCATCGTTGAATTTACGTTGATTAAACGTTGGAACATCGCTGAATTTACGTTGATTAAACGTTGTTTCATCGTTGAATTTACGTTGAATAAACGTTGAAACATCGTTAAATTTATGTAGATTAAACGTTGAAACATCGTTAAATTTACGTTGATTAAACGTTTTTTCATCGTTAAATTTACGTTGATTAAATGTTAAATCATCGTTAAATTTACGTTGATTAAACGTTATTTCATCATTGAAATCACGTTGATTAAACGTTATTTCATCGTCATAAGCATGGCGAGAAGGAATAAGCGGTGCACCTGATGGGTTAGAAGAGGCCTGAGAAGAGGCGTGAGAAGAGGCGTGAGAAGATGAGGGAGAAGAGGAAGTATGGTCATGTTCATCGGTCTGCCATGTCTGATGATGGAGGCGTTGCGAAGGATTATTCGTGGCCACGTTTTGCGTTTGTCCTTCACCGTAGCTTTTCCTTGTCTGGTCGCGACCGTTGCTTCCGTCGTGATAACCGTTGCTTACGTCGTGGCCATTGCTTACGTCGTCGTAACCGTTGCTTATGGCGTCGTGACCGTTGCTTATGGCGTCGTGACCGTTTTTTCCGTGGTCGTGACCGTTGCTTACGTCGTCGTAACCGTTTTTTCCGTCGTGACGACCGTTGTTTCCGTCGTCGTGGCCGTTTTTTCCGTCGTGGCCGTTGCCCATGTCGTAACCGTTGCTTACGTCGTAACCGTTGCTTACGTCGTCGTGGCCGTTTTTTCCGTCGTGGCCGTTGCTTATGGCGTCGTGACCGTTGCCTACGTCGTAACCGTTGCCTACGTCGTGGTGACCGTTGCCCATGTCGTGGCCGTTGCTCACGTCACTCTTGATACGGTCATCCTCGCCACCATAAATACGCTGAAAGTTTTCATCGTAGCGCGCGTCTGTGTCAATGCTGTTTCTTCCGTACGCGTTCGTCTCTTCGGTTGAGTCTTGTGCCACGTACGTGAAAATTTTCACAGGGAACTGGCGTTGTTGCTGTTGTTGCTGCTGTTGTTGCAGCTGTTGCTGTTGTTGCAGCTGTTGCTGTTGCAGTTGCTGTTGTCGTTCAGATGTACGACGGAATGACTTAGCGTGACGTAGGCCGACGCTAGCAGAGCCATGCAGGATTAGAGACCAGCCTCGGAGGATGGTCAGACCTGAGACGGGTTAGTGGCCCGTTACGATAAAAGTGTCTGAGGCCCGTTACACTCAGCGTGTGAGCGGCCCGTTACACTCAAATCTTAATTAGTATCTTAATTAGCATGAAAGAGGGAGTATTTTAATATCTTAATTAGTATGATAGAGGGAGTATCTTAATTAGTATCTTAATTAGTATTATAGAGGGAGTATCTTGATTAGTATTTTAATTAGTATCTTAAGTAGCAGTTAGTGCGTATCAAGTCAAGGGAGAACCGGCGTATAGCAACACAATTTTAGGCCAATATAGTTGAAACAAAAACGTTGATTAGGCGTTGAAATAACAACGTTGAATCAACGTTATTTCAACGTCAGATGCCCGGTGGGTAGATAACACAGCAGCAACACTGATAAGCTGAGTGGTGGCAATTATTTTCAATTTTTTTTAACACGAATCAATCATTATTTTTGAACACGCGTCAATTATTTTTTAAGATTGCTCCGATAAAAAAATAAATGTTAAGTTTAGTTATGCTAGAGTTAAGAGTTATCAACGGGGAACTAAGATGTTGAAACGATGTGAGAAATAATTTGGCGACGTCTTCTTTGTAAGATAGTCTAACTAGGTGCATAATATAGGCCTAAATAGAGATATAGTTTATAGTTGATAGAGAGCGTTAACTATAAGTGTACATTACAGGCCTAAATAGAGATATAGTAGAGGGCGGTAACTAGGTGCAATTTAGAGGACTAATTAAAGACAAGTTTATTAATGAAAGAGGGACAGGCGAGGCANAGACTCACGGTCTAGAATCTAGACTCACGGTCTAGAATCTAGACTCACGGTCTAGAATCTAGACTCACGGTCTAGAATCTAGACTCACGGTCTAGAATCTAGACTCACGGTCTAGAATCTAGACTCACGGTCTAGAATCTAGACTCACGGTCTAGAATCTAGACTCACGGTCTAGAATCTAGACTCACGGTCTAGAATCTAGACTCACGGTCTAGAATCTAGACTCACGGTCTAGAATCTAGACTCACGGTCTAGAATCTAGACTCACGGTCTAGAATCTAGACTCACGGTCTAGAATCTAGACTCACGGTCTAGAATCTAGACTCACGGTCTAGAATCTAGACTCACGGTCTAGAATCTAGACTCACGGTCTAGAATCTAGACTCACGGTCTAGAATCTAGACTCACGGTCTAGAATCTAGACTCACGGTCTAGAATCTAGACTCACGGTCTAGAATCTAGACTCACGGTCTAGAATCTAGACTCACGGTCTAGAATCTAGACTCACGGTCTAGAATCTAGACTCACGGTCTAGAATCTAGACTCACGGTCTAGAATCTAGACTCACGGTCTAGAATCTAGACTCACGGTCTAGAATCTAGACTCACGGTCTAGAATCTAGACCGGTCTAGAATCCAGAATCAGGTCTAGAATGTAGACCGGTCCAGAATCAAGACCGGTCTTGAATCAAGAATCACGATTTAGAATCTAGACCGGTCTAGAATCTAGACAGGCCTAGAATCTAGAATCACGGTCTAGCATCTAGACAGGTCTAGAATCCAGAATCACGGTCTAGAATCACGGTCTAGAATCTAGATAGGTCTAGAATCCAGAATCCCGGTCTAGAATCACGGTCTAGAATCTAGACCGTTGAACCAAGCAGTTCCCCAGACGAGTGAGTAAGCAAATGTTGAACAACGGCAAGGAATTCAACGACTTACTACGCGAAGCAAAGTTGTTCCAGGGTAGCCAGGGAGGCTCTGCAAGACACGGTCACAAAATTTACCCCAAATTAGGATTTATTTTAGAGTTTAAACTTTTAAAGCTTGTTAAGTTATTTGAAATATATTGGTAAGCTTGACCTAGCAACTATTGACCATTAAAATGAGGTTCGAAAGAAGCAATTTACCCCAAATTAGGATTTCTTTTAGAGTTTAAAGCTTGCTAAGTTATTCGAAAAATATAGGAACGCTTGACCTAGCTACTGTTGACAATTAAAATGAGGTTTAAACGAACCAATGAGGGGGATAGAATAATGCACCCAATTCTTTGGCAATGGCCGTTTCGTTTAGAGTTTAAAGCTTATTAAATTATTCGAAAATATAGGTAAGCTTGACCTAGCTCCTATTATCAGTTAAAATGAGGTTTAAATGAACCAATTCTGTGGCAATTGTTGTTTCGTTTAGAGTTTAAAGCTTGTTAAATTATTTGAAAATAGAAAAAAGGTTGACCTAGCTCTTATTGACAATTAAAATGAAGTTCAAACGAACAATTGAGAGGGATAAAATCTTGCATCTATTCCTTCGGCAATGGCTGGAAAGTGCTTGAACACGCGGACAGTAGTGGCGGCGAGTTAAACATTTAAATATACTATAACTGCCACTATTTACCGTGCTACTGGCCATGAGTACAGGTGTTACTTGCCACGGAAGTACCTCTGCAGTAGCCCTTTAGACGTGGCCAGTAGCATGATAGTTTGTCACAGATATTATTTAAAAGCTGTACTGACCGCCACATTTGTCTCCGTGTACAAGCAAGAACCTGGTGGCTATCTCAAATTTTGGCTGAAATCCAGAGAATCAGGAGCAGGTTTTGACAAAAGTGGATATACGGATCAAAAATTCGTATTTATGATCGACCGCGAAATAATTTCTTTATCTTCTTATCTGTCTGACGCTAATATGAGTCACTTTACTCACTTTACTGTTCCAAATCAACAGCGGTTCAATTCGGGGACTTCAATTCTGACTACAAAATTTCGGCAATAGGGAAAGACGTAACGTAATAATGAACATGCATAATACGGAATTACGGATGAAAATAACTGATAATCCTTCCACATATATACAGATCGGAAGATAGAACAAGTTATTTTCAAATTGAATGAACAATAAAACAGCTTTTTCACACAGAACCGATGAAATAACCTTTCAAAATTGTATGAACAATAAAACAGTTTTTTTTCACACAGAACCAATGAAATAACTTTTCGAAATTGAATGAACAAAAAAAAAAAAAGTTTTTTTTTTCACACAGAACCGATGAAATTGTTTTTCGAAATTGAATGAACAAAAAAAAAAACAGTTTTTTTCACACAGAACCGATGAAATAACCTTTCGACATACACAAATTACTCGACACACGACCTAAGCAGACGGACAATGAAAGAAGATCGCGATTATTAACAAAAATGCAGTGTAAATTTAATAAACTTAAGAATGCGACAAAGAGCCTTTATTAATTTGAGTATTGCCACGTGAAATAAGTGTAAAATAAGTGAATCAAATGAACGCAACGAGAAACTGTCTAGAAAGATCTGAACAAAAAAAAAACGATTGGGTACAATAAACGACTTGATAAAAGAAAGCAAAAAGGCAAAATAAAATATTTGGTATAAGGAACGATTTGATGAATGATGCATGGAAGAATCACGGCTCAATGGCCGACAATCTCTATCCAAAAGTTTATCAAATTTACCAAGTTTATGAAGTTTATCAAATTTTATCAAGTTCGTCAAGTTCATCAAATTATTAAGTTTATAAATGTTATCAAGTTTTTATAAAGTTTATCAAGTTTATCAAATTTACCAAGTTAATGAAGTTTATCAAGTTTATCAAGTTCATCAAATTATCAAGTTTATAAATGTTATCAAGTTTTTATAAAGTTTATCAAGTTTATGAAGATGGCGGTGAAAGGGGCACTCCTACGGCAAGCAACGGTTCTTTATACAGAGCTTTTAACGCAACAAATTAATTTAAATATAGAGGTTAATACAGAGAACACGCCTCAATTTAGCTCTGACCACAGAGTATTAACTGCCACACAGGAGAGATTTACACATAACTCAGGAGAAATTTCTATACAAGTATTATACAGAGCTAGAGCAGTAAATGAAGTATATCTGTAAGGAGCCAGCACTGCTTTTACACTTCACACAGGAGAAATTTACAAGTCACACAGGAGAGATTTACGTCTCACCATGTCACACAAGAGAGATTAACACTTCACACGGGAGAGATTTCTATACAAATATTATACAGGGCTAAAGCAGTAAATGCAGTATAGCTTTTAAAGGAGCCAGCACCGCGTTTACATTACACACAGCAGGGAAATACATGTCACACGAGATGGATTTATAGATCACACAGGTGAGATTTCTATACAAATATCATACAGAACTAGAGCAGTAAATGCAGTATAGCTTTTAAAGGAGCCAGCACCGCGTTTACACTTCACACAGCAGAAATGTACAAGTCACACATGAGAGATTTACGTATCACCACGTCACACAGGAGATATTTCTATACAAGTATACAGAGGTAGATCAGTAAGTAAAGTATATCATTAAGTATTTAGCAAGGCAGGCTAACCATTAGAGAGGAAGTATACATGTCACACAGGATAGATTTACGTGTCACCACATCACACAGGAGATATTTCTATACAAGTACAGAGGTAGATCAGTTAGTAAAGTATATCACTAATTATTTAGCAAGACATTAGTACCATTAGAGAAGAAGTGTCCGTTGTTGTGCACCTCAAGCTTCCACACGCCCAGGGGCGCCTCCCCCCACATGTGCACGCTCATGAACGGCCACGACTGCACATAAATAATGTCATTAATATCAATAATAACGTAATAATGATGTTATGAAGTAATGATGATGGTATGAAGTAATAATGCCGGTATCAAGTAATGATGGTATTAAGTAATGATGGTATTAAGTAATGATGATGGTATTAAGTAATGATGGTATTAAGTAATGATGGTATTAAGTAATGATGATGGTATTAAGTAATGATGGTATTAAGTAAAGATGGTATTAAGTAATGATGGTATTAAGTAATGATGATGGTATTAAGTAATGATGGTATTAAGTAATGATGTACAAGTAATGATGATGGTTACTTCTCCCCCCACATGTGCACGCTCATGAACGGCCAGGACTGCACATAAATATATCATTAATATCATCAAGAATAAGATAAATAATAAAATTGTTATAAATAGATTATTAAAATAATAAATTAATAATCAGTCATGAGTTCCCTGATAATGAGATAGTAGCAAGAGGCGATACCAAATGATAACATAATCAAAAAATTGATACTAAATGATAACAAAACCAAAAAAATGCTAGCAAATGATACCACAACTGAAGTAATGCTACCAAATGATAACATAACCAAAAAAATATATACCAAATAATAGTATAACAAAAAAATATATCAAATGATAACATAATCAAATGATACCAAATGATAATATAAAAAAAATGATATCACATGATAACATAACCAAAGTATTGCTACCAAATGATACCACAACCAACAAAATGTTACCTATTGATAACATAACAAAAAAAAAATATATCAAATGATAACATAACAAAAAAAATATACCAAATGATAACATAACAAAAAATGATACCAAATGATAACATAACAAAAAAAATGATACCAAATGATAACAAAAAAAAATTATACCAAATGATAACATAACAAAAAAATGATACCAAATGATAACATAACAAAAAAAAATGATACCAAACGATAACATAAAAATATGATACCACAACTGAATTAATATTACCAAATGATAACATAACCAAAAAACAATGATAACAAATGATAACATAACTGAAATAAAGAGATATAACATACCCTGAAGCCGGCCCTGCTGTTGTCATGGGGCCGCTGGGCCAGCAAGGTGCTGCGGGTCCCCGCTGGGGACACTAAATAAATCTCCAGGTCCCCACGCCGGTCAGACGACAGGGACACCATCGCCTGTACGTGCTCCAGCTCCTCTACTCCGGGACACTGGGACACCTCAAGGGTCAGGGACACGACGCTCTTGTGAGGGACGAGTCTGTGAGGGGAGTGAGGGGAGTTAGAGGGACACTGGGACACCTCAAGGGTGAGGGACACCACGCTCTTGTGAGGGACCAGTCTGTGAGGGGAGCGAGGGGAGTTAGGGACACGACGCTCTTGTGAGGGACGAGTCTGCGAGGGGAGTGAGGGGAGTTAGAGGGACACTGGGACGCTTCCAGTGTGAGGGACACGACGCTCTTGTGAGGGACGAGTCTGTGAGGGGAGTGAGGGGAGTTAGGGACACTGGGACACTTCCAGTGTGAGGGACACGACGCTCTTGTGAGGGACGAGTCTGTGAGGGGAGTGAGAGGAGTTAGGGACACTGGGACACTTCCAGTGTGAGGGACACCACGCTCTTGTGAGGGACGAGTCTGTGAGGGGAGTGAGGGGAGCTAGTGGGACACTGGGTGAAGAGTGTGGAGGGAATAGAGGGTGAAGATAGAATGACAGTGAGAGGCGATGGTTATTGGTTTAGATCTAACATGGCCTGAGTTCTTGTGGAAATTAATAGAAAATAAAACATATCCTGCCAGAACTATAAGCCTGAACACCTTCTGATAGTATGTATTGGTTGAAAAGAGGTGCTGTGAGAGGGGTAGGCTGAGAGAGGGGTAGGCTGTGCGAGGGGCAGGAGGATGAGAGGGGCAGGAGGATGAGAGGGGCAGAAGGATGAGAGGGGCAGAAGGATGAGAGGGGCAGGATGAGAGGGGCAGGATGAGAGGTGCAGGATGAGAGGGGCAGGATGAGAGGTGCAGGATGAGAGGGGCAGGATGAGAGGGGCAGGATGAGAGGGGCAGGATGAGAGGGGCAGGATGAGAGGGGCAGGATGAGAGGTGCAGGATGAGAGGGGCAGGATGAGAGGGGCAGGATGAGAGGTGCAGGATGAGAGGGGCAGGATGAGAGGTGCAGGATGAGAGGGGCAGGATGAAAGGGGCATGAGGGGCAGGAAAGAGGGCCACTCACTTGTCGTCGTGAGGGGCCCGCACCTCGCAGCTGCGCTGAGGGGTCACCGTCTGCCAGGAGCGCGCGAGTTGCACCATCGCGTACGCGTCCATCATCCCGTAGCCGAACCTGCGCACATCACCAACGTCATCGTCATCACATCACCACATCACCAACGTCATCATCGTCATCACATCACTACATCACCAACGTCACCAACGTCATCACATCACCAACGTCGCGTCTAATGCACATCACCAACGTCACCACATCACCAACGTCACGTCTAATGCACATCACCAACGTCACCACATCACCAACGTCACGTCTAATGCACATCAACCAAAGAATTAAACTTAAATTTCTTTAATTAAACTTAAATTTGTACCCAGCAAAATCAGTCTAATAATGTGAGCGATAAGCTTCGTATGAATACGCGGGAAATGAACATACGCTGGAGATTTTCTTCACAAACATACGCTGGGCGAAATTATTGCTGAGTTCAGGGATTTATCAACTATTTTTATCAGGCATTTTTGCTGCCAAGGATGAGAAGCAGAGTGAAGCTTTTAGAAAATATTTCATTTGAAAGATGGGTTAGGAAAAGAATAGCAGCTCTTTGATGCTGACAGAGCCTTCAGCTAACACTGATGAAGTCAACTGAATAGTTTGATGTTCAACACTGATGAAGTCAAGGGAATAGTTTGATGTCTAACACTGATTCAAATAAAATAAAGCAAGACTAAGCCTAAAACATTTCAAGAAATGATGCCTACGGAATAACAAAAAAAGGGTCACTTGAATCAGAGAAGTAATAAAATTTATGAATAACATATTCTTTTTCACGAGACTCTGACCTGTACGAGACCCTTACCTGTGCGAGACCCTGACCTGTACGAGACCCTGACCACGAGACCCTGACCTGTGCGAGACCCTGACCTGTGCGAAACCCTGACCTGTGCGAAACCCTGACCTGTGCGAGACCTTCCTGCCGACGCCGTTGGTCTGCCAGTCGTTGGTCTCGAGGTTCTCAGGACGCGCGGTGCGCACGACGATGTGCTGCATGTCTCGCCACGTCAGGTTCTTGTTAACCTGCACGCACACGTGGCGTTAGTAGAGACACGTCAGTAACACAGTAACACGTCACGCACACGTGGCGTTAGTAGAGACACGTCAGCAACACGTCAGTAACACGTGAGCGAGACGTCAGCAACACGACAGCAATACGTCACGTAACACGTCAGCGACACGGCAGTAACACGTCAGTAACAGTTCACTAACACGTCACTAACACGTTAGTAACACGGCAGTAACACGTCACAAACACGTCTCTAACACGTCACTAACACGTTACTAACACGTCACCAACACGTCACTAACACGTCACTAACACGTCACCAACACGTCAGCAACACGTCAGCAACACGTCACTAACACGTCACTAACACGTCACTAACATGTCACTAACACGTCACTAACACGTCACCAACACGTCACTAACACGTCACTAACACGTCACCAACACGTCAGCAACACGTCACTAACACGTCACTAACACGTCAGCAACACGTCACTAACACGTCAGCAACACGTCACTAACACGTCACTAACACGTCCCACACGTCACTAACACGTCCCACACAGCTGACGCAGAGGTGCCGGTATGGCTCGTGGTGCACTCGTGGTGCAGGTCTGTGGTGATGATCTTGCGCTCGCTGGTGCTGCCGCTGCTGTAGGTCGTGGCTAGGGTGCTGCTGCACGCCTCGCTGTACCACGGCACGTTGCCGCGCTCTGCATGTACGGGATTAATTCAACATACGTCATCAACGTTAATTCAAAATACGAGATTAATTTTAATTCAAGATCCGTGATCAAGTTTAATTCTACAGGTCGCAACGCTAATTCAATATACGTGATCAATGTTAATTTAATATACGTGATCAACTTTAATTCAATATACGAGATCAACGTTAATTCAATATACGTGATTGTCCGGTGTCAATTCACTTGACCTGATTGAGATTGAGGACGAGTCAACATCTGATAGACACGTGATAGATCACGCGATCAAGACCTCAGTAGTGGGCGGAAGCGAAGCTTATAAAAGGGCTAGCAACCTTAAGCAAAGCCCCCAGTAGCTGATGAGCACTCCGCGATGTAGCGTGTCGGTAGAGTTCTTCGACCTTACGGTCGATGCCGTAGCTTATTCTTCTGTATCGTAATGTATTACCACCCCGTATACAAGATACGTTATCTGGACTTATGTGTCTTACTTATCCCTCACTATCTTAGTCAACGAAACCCGATCCTCAGGTAGAGCTTAATATAATGAGTACAATGTCTTGAGCCCAACCTCGGACATGATCAACGTTAATTCAAAATATGTGATTAACTTTAATTCGATACAAGTAAACAATTTTAATTCAATATACGTGTACAACTTAAATTCTAAAGGCCTCAACTTTATTACTACATGCGCGCAAACTTTAAATCCACAGGTCACAAGTAGACCGACTTATGATAGTACGGCCCGCGGTCCTGTAAGCTGACCTGCACCACCCACCTGTAGCAGACGAGATGCTCAGCGTCCAGATGGCGTTAGTGTAGCCATCGCAGTTGCAGTTGTCCTGAGCGCGGCCGCCGTTGCCGCTCGCCCAGATGAAGATTGAGCCCAGACCACCTCGACCCTGTCAGCCAAAACATCGTCTCGTCAGTTTAAACTTAAGTTTAATTACCTAATATCAGTACTAATGTAAAGTAATTACTCTCATCTAAGTGCTATAACATTATAACCGACACAGCCTTATAACCGATAGTACTCAAACCCTAACCCTAAGTTCTGTACAATATGGCGTGGCTCCGCGAAATGAGAACTAGAGTGTGATGCAGACTTTAGCGACTGAAATGTCAACTGATCAACCTCCAACCGCTTACAATTCGGTAAAAAAAATAACCAAAAGGTAGAGCAAAATTTTGACCTCTATGTAAGACTTCTCAATTGTTTTTTTTTTTCGGGGATATACAAGAAATAAGGAAAATGGCTCATAGAATTATTTGCCTCAACCATCTGAAGCTGCGCTAAAAAAGTGTTACCGATAAAAGGCTGCGCCACTTCCATTAATAAATTTCTACACGCAGTTAATTGATAATTAACAAAAACATTTCATAAGGCATATTCAGAAGACATGCATCCTTTAATGCCTACGACCAACGCGGTTAATGCATGCAACATTGTAGGGATCTTAGCTAAATATGCAGGAGTACTTCGGGAAACATTGAGAAGAAGAACAAAAGTAACGGAACAAAAGTAAAATATTAGGTAAAATGGCTCAAACATTTACTGGTCTCAACCATTGGACGCCACGCTAGAAAAATGTAACCGAAAAAGTTCAACAGCCACTAAACAGCAGCTTTCTCAATCGATCGTCAGTTATGGAAAGATCGGGTTCCAAAGGCCGGATCCCTTGTGAATCAAGTCACGAAAAATTCAAGAATCGGCAACAGGCCATGGGCCTATTTCTTCAGTGCCGACACTTCTATTTTAATAAATTTGTATACCCAACACTAGGACCCTTAGGTAAACACGGTTAATGCCTGCAATATATTAGGCAATTTGGCTCAAATATTTGCTAGTCCCAACCATTTGGACGCCACGCTAGAAAAGTTTTACCGAAAACAGGCAACAACCTCTAATAAGTTTGTTACTTATTAGTGAATAATATATTATATCAGTGGTTACCCAGCACTAGACCTACATGGTTTTTACCGAAAACAGGCAACAACCACTAATTAGTTTGTTACTTATTAGTGAATAATATATTATATTAGTGTTTACCCAGCACTAGGACCTACATGGTTTTTACCGAAAACAGGCAACAACCTCTAATAAATTGGTTACTTATTAGTGAATATTATATCATATTAGTGGTTACCCAGCACTAGGACCTACATGATTAATGCCCTCGACGAAGGCGCGCGTGGCGAGCTCGCCGGGACCGTCAACGGTCTTGCCATCATCGTCAGGTCCCCAGGAGGCGCTGTAGATGTCGATGTGTTGAGGGTTGAGTGCTAGCGACCGCGCCTCTACCGCGTCTGTTACGTCGCCGTCCAACATCCGCACGCCTGAGATACAAGAATGCAGCGTAAATGACATGCCTTTTGTCGGCATCTTGTTATGACATGGTGCATATACGTCGTTATGTTGTTATGATATGATGTATTAACGTCGTCATGTTGTTATGATATGGCGCATTTACGTTACGTTGTTATATGGTGCATTTACGTTATGTTGTTATGATATGGTGCATTATCTTCTACATGTTATATGTGGAATATTATGATGATGTTCGCTGTCATTAAAACATTATATACATACATTACAAGCCATTTGTCGTCATCTTGTTATGCCATGGTGCTTTATCTTTTATAGGTCAAGATATGGAATAATGTCATAATGTTCGCTGTTAAAAATATTATAAATTACAAGCCATTTGTCGGCAAAATGGTACTTTATCTTCTATATGTCGTCATATGGTCTAATATCATAATGTTCGCTATTTAAAAGATTATACATTACAAGCAATTTGTCGGGATGTTGTAATGATATGGTGCATAATCTTCTACATGTCGGTATGTGGAATAATATCATAATGTTCGCTGTCATTAAAACATTACATGATGAATCCATAGTTACTTCGACATGTCTTTGACAAGCCTAAGACACGTCTTTGAGATGAAACTAAACCACTATATATCAGGTCTCAAAGTCACAACAAAGGCTCTGAGTCGTCAAAGACAAATGCATTTCTCTGACCAGACAATTAATTGTACCCATGACCAGACAATTGCACCTAGACATATTGACATGGCGGTCAGACATGACCATGACAAGACAACTGTACCCAGACATATTGATATGGCGGTCAGACATGACCATTTCCCTGCCACATTTGCCACAAGCAACTGACCGCCAATGGAGGCCTGGTAAGCCACATTAGCCACAAGCAACTGACCGCCAATGGAGGCCAGGTAAGCCACATTAGCCACAAGCAACTGACCGCCAATGAAGGCCTGGTAAGCCACATTAGCCACAAGCAACTGACCGCCAATTGAGGCCTGGTAAGCCACATTAGCCACAAGCAACTGACTGCCAATGGAGGCCTGGTAAGCCACATTAGCCACAAGCAACTGACCGCCAATGGAGGCCTGGTAAGCCACATTAGCCACAAGCAACTGAACGCCAATGGAGGCCTGGTAAGCCACATTAGCCACAACTGACCGCCAATAGAGGCCTGCTAAGCCACATTTGCCACAGGCAACTGACCACCAATGGAGGCCTGGTAAGCCACAGTTGCCACAAGCAACTGAACGCCAATGGAGGCCTGGTAAGCCACATTTACCACAACTGACCGCCAATGGAGGCCTGGTATGCCACATTTACCACAACTGACCGCCAATGGAGGCCTGGTAAGCCACATTAGCCACAACTGACCGCCAATGGAGGCCTTGTAAGCCACATTAGCCACAACTGACCGCCAATGGAGGCCTGGTATGCCACACCGACGGCACAGATGGAGTTGTTGGCGTCGGCCGCCACCTCGCCGGCACAGCGCGTGCCGTGGCGGTTGCTGTCGGACAGGTCGTAGCGCGGGGCGGGGTCGCTGTCGCGGTTGTTCACGTCGTACGACGCCTCGGGGTCCTAAGGGGTGATTTTATTATTATAAATTAATATTATTATCTAATTATTACATATGTATATATGTATATAATATACATATATATGTATATTATTAATATTATCAGTCGTACGACGCCTCGGGGTAATATTATTATTATCTAATTATTATATTATTAATATTATTAGTCGTATGACGCCTCGGGGTCCTGGCGGGTTGATACATCGCGCTTTAATAATATTAGCTACTATTTCCCTACAATTTTGGGGTGGTGGGTGCGTGGGTGTGGAGGTGGTGGGTGTGGGTAGTGGGTGGTGGGTGTGTAGGTGTGGGGTGGGAGTGGGAGTGGTGGCAGAGAAGGGTGACTGATGGCAGCAGGTGCATATAACACATGGCAGATGTGTGTGGAGATGAGTAAGGTATGAAGAGACACATGGATGATAACAATATAATAACGATGAATTAATGAATAAGAAGTAATCAAGACTCACGTCGTTCCTTATGAAATTAAGAATAATACCAATATAATATATGAATTACATGAATCATACCACTATTATAAGCATCAATTAATAAATAAAATGTAAAAAGACTCACGTAGTTCCTGATGAGATCATGAATAATACCAATATTATATATGAATTACATGAATTATACCGATATAATAAGCATCAATTAATGAAATATTATAGTGATCAATTAATAAATAAGAGATAATGAAGACTCACGTAGTTCCTGATGAGGTCCGGGTGGCTCTTCTCGAGCCCGTCGTCCAGTATGGTGGCCACGACCCCCTTGCCCGTGACCCCCGCCGCCCACGCCTGCTCTACCCGCATGTCCAGCCCCAGCCCGCGGTTCTGTGGCACCCCGTGGGTATCATGAGTAACGCAGTGGACCATTACCACAACGGGCAATGTACCACAGTGCAATATGCATCACAGTACCACAGTACACACATCATCGCGAACGAGTACGCACCAGAGCGCATTGAATACCATAGCAGTTCCACACTTACTAGTAGCAACGTACTACAGCGACGTACCGGGCACCACACTGACGTACCAGGTACGACATCTGAGGCCACTGTCACCACACCGACGTACCAGGCACCACATCTGTGGCCACTATCACCACACGGACGTACCAAGCACCACATCTGTGGCCACTGTCACCACACAGACGTACCAGGTACCACATCTGAGGCCACTGTCACCACACCGACGAACCAGTCACCACACAGACGTACCAGGTACCACATCTGTGGCCACTGTCACCACACATACGTACCAGTCACCACACAGACGTACCAGGTACCACATCTGAGGCCACTGTCACCACACCGACGTACCAAGTACCACATCTGCGGCCACTGAGGGTCGTTGAGGTTGGTACTAGGGAAGTCATGCGTCTGGTCGTGACGGTAGCGGCCAGGAGAGAGAGGGTAGAAGCTGGAGGCTGGGAGCTGCTGCAGCTGCAGGAAGTCCCGCTTACTGCGCCTCAGCACCTGCTGCTGCTGTGCCCACTGTACCTGTGGTGAGGGTACAGGGTGAGGGTACAGGGTGAGGGTACAGGGTGAGGGTACAGGGTGAGGGTACAGGGTGAGAGTACAGTGTGAGAGTACAGTGTGAGGGTACAGTGTGAGGGTACAGGGTGAGGGCACAGGGTGAGGGTACAGGGTGAGGGTACAGGCTGAGGGTACAGGGTGAGAGTACAGGGTGAGGGTACAGTGTGAGGGTAGCATTACAAATGAGGGCACCTGCTGCTGCTGTGCCCACAGCACCTGCGTAGAGTTGAGGGTACAGGGTGAGGGCAGCAATAATGAATATGATAACAGCATTACATAGGTACTAATATCCAATGACATTAAATCAAGTTACTATAACTTTAGATACAAATAGCTAGCTTTATGTATCTACCTTCAGATACTAATAGGCTCATGTATCTGCATAAAAATTGTATATAACTTCATGTAAATACCAGCGATCCACTGAGAACTAATGCCTGCTTACCTTGGGGTGTTTGTGCAGCTGGCGGTGATGGTGTACTGACGGGCTGGCGGAGCGGCGGGCGAGGCGTCGGTGACGGAACACATACACGTTGTTGAACACCTGTAATATAATGATTATTATTATTATTATTATTGTCAAACACCTGAAATATAATGATAATTATTATTATTATTGTCAGACACCTGTAATATAACAATAATTATTATTATTATTATTATTATTATTATTATTATTATTATTATTGTCAAACACCTGCAACATTGTCAAACACCCGTCAGTGTAAACCATGTGAGCGTTGTATTTAATATGACCTGCGCATGTATGCTAAGTAGAACATATTCGTAATTATTCATCACTGTAATTTGTCCCATTCCTTCAGTGTTGATGGTTTTCAAGATATCAAGATATCAATGATCATGAGATATTGAGAACGTTAAGGAAGCTTAATAAACAAGCAAACAGCGTTTAGGTCAATTATTGTTTCTTATGATGACGTTATAGTTCAGCGTTCAGGACAATTATTGTTTCTTATGATGACGTTACAGTTTAGCGTTCAGGACAATTATTGTTTCTTATGATGACGTTACAGTTTAGCGTTCAGGACAATTATTGTTTATTATGATGACGTTATAGTTTAGAATTCAGGACATATTGTTTCTTATGATGACGTTACAGTTTAGAGTTCAGGACAATTATTGTTTCTTATGATGACGTTATAATATAGTGTTCATATCAATTATTGTTTCTTATGATGACGTTACAGTTTAGCGTTCAGGACATATTGTTTCTTATGATGACGTTATAGATTAGAAGAGTCCCGGTTACATGCCAGCAACTTATCGTAGTCAAGTTTGTGAGTCACGTGGAGGAAACAAGTGCTTGTGCTCTGAACTTTATGTGAAGAGGATTTTTAAAGTGCTGCAGATAAAGATGACACGTATAAGGCTTCTTTTAAACAAAGATGATCTCGGGAAGAAACGAGACGATTAGTTATCATTTTACTAATCTACTAAATAATAATCTAAATTAGTTATTATTTACTACAATTACTGGATAATATTAGCTATAATTTCTCGAAGCTGATATTTACTGGATAATAATTAGCTATAAATTCGCACGCTAATATTTACTGCATAATATTTTGCTAGAATATAATTATTCAATATACTTATATATAATATAATATAATTTCCCAAGTTAATATTTACGGGATAATATTTTGCTATAATATAATTATTTAATATAGGTATTTAAATATTATATAATATAATATAATTTCGCAAGCTAATATTTACGGGATAATATTTAGCGCGCAGCAAGCGACGCGTGAGAGCGCAGGACGAGGCGTGAGAAAGCGGAGACCTGGCGAGAGCTGCGGCCTCTAGCGTCACTATCACGACCAGCCTCTAGCGTCACTATCACGGGATAATATTTTGCTATAATATAATTATTTAATATNTATCACGGCCAGCCTCTAGCGTCACTATCACGGCCAGCCTCTAGCGTCACTATCACGGCCAGCCTGCATTCACTAGAGCTTCACTATCACGATTCACAACCAAAGTTTACAAGTAAACAGAGGAAGCCAATTGATTTCGTTATCGTATATACATAATTAAAACAATTTATCATCACAAATTTACGGCTGACACGAGATTCTGAGGAAATTCGACCTGTAGAACTATACGTACATCCGGATCAAATGTGAATTTATTCATTTAATTTAATGTTACTAAATCATCCGAATAACATTCACAAATTTATGGTTAAGACAAAAACATGGACAAAAAAGAGCCGTTCACGGTAGATTTTCCAGGCAATAAATTATTTTTTAGTTAACGTTAAGCAACCCCGGCGAAGCTTTGGGATAAGCCAGAATATACCTGATCGCTTCCATAAAATCAAAGTATAAATCTAAGTATAATCAATATAAAATTTAAGTATATCTCCATAAAAATTTCATGTATAAATCGATACAAAATTTTATTATATACCTATCCATAAAAAATCTAAGTATAAATCCATGAAAAGTCTAGGTATATAAATCCATAAAAATCTAACTTTACATCCATAAAAAATCAAAGTATAATCCATAAAAAATCTAGGTATAAATCCCTAAAAAATCTAAGTATAAATCCATAAAAGATCTAAGTACAAATCTATAAAAAAATTAAAGTTTAAATCTATAAAAAATCAAAGTTTAAATCCATACAAATCTAAGTATAAATCCATAAAAGATTCAAGTACCTATATATTTATAAAAAATCAAAGTTAAAATCTATAAAAAATGTGTAAGTATAAATCCATATAAATCCAAGTATAAATAACAGCAATGAAGGTAATCTCATAAAGGAAGGCGGCGGTTAGGCTGAAGTTCCGGAACACAGGCCGCAAACTGCCGACAGCCTTCCGGTGCACAGCACAGCGGAAACTCTGCTGCTGTGATGACTGTGATGACTGTGATGCTGCAGTGATGACTGTGATGACTGTGATGCTGCTGTGATGACAGTGATGCTGCAGTGATGACTGTGATGGCTGTGATGCTGCAGTGATGACTGTGATGCTATCACGGTGATGGCTGTGATGCTGCAGTGATAAACGGCACCACTGCAGCAGTGATGCAGAGGGGAGATCGAGAGCAGCAAGAGCGGTGACTGTGATGACTAGCAGCACCATAGCTGTTAGCTGTGCTGTACGTTGTTTGGGCTTGTGCAGTGGGGCTCCTTTTAAGCGTGCAGTGGGTGCATTGAGGAATGTGCAATGGGTGCAGTGAGGCTTGTGCAGTGGGTGCGGTGCGGTGGGAGTCGTGCAGTGAGTGCAATGGAGCGTGCAGTGGGTGCAGTGGGGCTTGGGCACTAGGTAGCTGCCTAGAAGCGTGCAGTGGATGCAGTGTAGCATCCATGGAGCGCGCAGTGGGTGCAGTGTAGCATCCATGGAGCGAGGGAGAGGAAGGGAGAAGAGGAGAGAGAAGTAGAGAGGGAGAAGAGGAGAGGGAGGGAGAAGAGAAGTAGAGAGGGAGAAGAGGAGAGGGAGGGAGAAGAGGAGAGTGGAGAAGTAGAGAGGTGACGGGAGAGGGAGGGAGAAGAGGAGAGTGGAGAAGTAGAGAGGGGAAAGAAGGGAGAGGGAGGGAGTACGGGAGCGGGGAAGGCGGCTGGTCAGGTCAAGTTGAGGGCAAAAGCCGGCCTCAGGACTCCCCTTGAACTTTACGACCCCCACCTACATTCTCCCCCTTACCCTCAGCCCCCTCTCACCCGACCCTCACAAACTCCCCCTCCCTTGTGACTCGGGGGAGCGATTCCCGCAATCCGCATCATCTCCACGCGATGCTTCCTTTCTGTGAAAACCACTGAAGCACAAGCAAGGCAGCATTGCAGTGCGTATAAATACACATTTATATAAATAAATAAGAACATTAGGGTGTAAAGCTCCAATAACACTTATTATAGTTCTGAATTATGCATTGAATTTTCGGTATATACATTGATTTTTGTGAGCCATACAAAGCGCTGAAGCACCAGCAAGGCAGCATATTGCGGTGCGTATAAATATTCGTATGCAACATTTCTTCACGTTCACTGATGGATAACGGCAACTTGGTCAGTCGTAAATAATGCTGAGTAAATAGGAACATTAGGATGTAGTAGAAGCTCCAATATAACTTATATTAGTTCAGCATTATGCACCGAATTTTCGGTGTATACATTGATTTTTGTGAGCCATACAAAGCGCTGAAGCACAAGCAAGACACACTTGCACTGAGATATATAAATACACTTCTTCACGTTCACTGATGGCTAACGGCAAATTGGCCAGTCGGAAATAATGCTGAGTAAATAGGAACATTAGGATGTAGAAGCTCCAATATCACTTATTGGGTTCTGCATTATGCATCGAATTTTCGGTCTATACGTTGATTTTTGTGAGCCATACAAAGCGCTGAAACACAAGCAAGGCAGTATTGCAGTGCGTATAAATACACTTCTTCACGTTCACTGATGGTTAACGATAACGTGGTTAGGAAGGAACATTAGGAGGTAGAAGTAAATAGGAACATTAGGATGTAGAAGCTCCAATACCTCTTATTAGTTCTGCATTATGCATTGAATTTTCGGTCTATACGTTGATTGTTGTGAGCCATACATGACTCGCACGCACCAGCGTGGTGACATCACCCACAATTGGTGTCAGTTCCAAAACAGCGATCAGCTGAAGTGATGAACTGGTTATACACATTACCTACGTAATATGTATAATCTTTTATGAATAATCTTTTTATAATCTATACAATACGTTATACATATTATATATTACGAGCGCCAGGCACAGCGAGCGAGACGCGCGGCCTTCACAGCAGCGCCAACAACGTTTTACGACAGTACGTCATCTGTGGCTTACAACAATACGACATCGCGGCTCTACGTCAACGACAAGGCCTTCACATCAGCGCCAACAAAGCTTTACGACAGTACGTTATCGTGGCTTACAAGAATAAGACATCGCGGTTTTACGTGAACGTCAAGGCTTTCACAGCAGCGCCAACAACGCTTTACGACAGTACGTCATCTGCAGCTTACAACAATACGACATCGTAGCCTTACGTCAATCATGTAGGACAATACGAAAGTAGTTAATTAAGTAGGATCGAGGTCAGGTATTCGCATGCGAGGACATAGAACGCAACTTTTCACAGGGTAAACAAAGAATTCTAGTCCAAACCATTATGCGAACTTGCATGGAAGGACAATTCAAAGAAAGAGCGTTTATAGGATCTCTCTGATAGCAATCAAATTGATTTCCATCGACCGTCCATCAGCAACCAATCGATGCCAATTCTGTGTCTGAACTTAATGCGATGGTACAGAGCAATTCAGTCTATTAAATTGGAAACCAGGCTTAAGGCCACTGATGAGGAGAAAACGCTATAACAATTCAACCATTCCAGCCTCAACTCAGCACTCAGTGAGGCAGAGACCAGCGGCGTACAATGACCGTGGGAAAAAAGTAGCAGCAACATTGAATAGCACAACCTTCTTTCGCTCCCACAAGGCCTCTTGCCGGTACGTAACTTAAATTGCAGGCACTGTAGCTTATGAAGTGTA